CTCAAAAAAAAAAAAAAAAAAAAAAAAAAAAGAAGGAAAAGTTCACTGGCATTCAACATTGTCCTCACATTACTATCAACTGTTGAATCCACTCAACTGAAGAAACCTTGTCCAGTAGACCATTGTGTGATGATATACTCCATATCTGCACTGCCCATTATGATGGTTACTACCCACTATTTTAACATTTGAAATGTGGCTGGTGCCACTGAGGAGTCAAGTTTCTAATTAATTTTAATTTTTAAAATTTTAACGTAAGTAGCTCCACACTTGACTATCAAATTGAGCATCACAAGTCTAGACCATAACAGGCAAGTGATTGCCTGCCTTAAATAACCTTGGGGTGGGTATTTTCTAGTAAATATTAAGTACACCTATGTTTCCTAATTTCATTGTCCTATTTTTTGCAGTTATGTATGTTTAGCACATCTAAATAACACAAAAAGAAAATACAAAATATCTCTTTTTAAATGTGCTCAAAGCAGAAGGCCAATTTTTCAGCATGGGAAAGATACTGTTGGCAGAAAGCTACCCTGCAAATGGGTATTAGGCAAAAAAAAAAAAAAAAAAAAAAAAAAAAATGCAGGACACAATTGCTTTCAGTAGAGCCAGTCAGTAAAGCCATAGATTCCCACTTAATTATACAGTGCTTACTTTCTCTACAGCCAGTGCTGACTTGAATCGCTGGATGCACATGCTTTTAGTAAGCAAATGAAAAAGGAAACACAGAAGTGAATATTTATTTAGCATCCCCTCTACAAAAGTAGATCGTTTGTGCAATTTGATACAGTATAATTTTAAAAATATAACCCTTCCAAATAAAGGGGCCACCAGGTATATCTCAAATAACTCCATTCTGTATTTTAATAAAAATACATAAATTTTTTAAAAAACAGTATTCTTTAGCATTTAAAATAGAAAAAGAGAAAGCCATATCTACATAGCTTATTTTCATATAGAATGAACACAGAGCATACAAATGATACATGGTTCTCTTTAACCCTTTCACTCCATCCAACCTATTATAGCCTATCTACCTCCTAAGGAAACAAATCAGAGGGTATCCAAGAGTGGTAGAATTTATGTCAGACATTCTAAGTTTCTCGCTTTAAATCAAGGTGACTTACCATTCACCAGATAACTACTCTAAGTATTATAGATCAGGGTTCTCCATCTCAGTACTATTGACAATTTGGGCTAGATAATTCTTTCTTGTAGGGGGGTGTCCTACCCATTGTAGAATGTTTAGCAGCATTCTTGGCTTGTAACTGATAGATGCCAACAGTACTCCCCACCCCACCATGTTTTGATAACCAAAAATATCTCCAGATATTGCCAAGTGTCTCCTGGCAGTAAAAATCACCCCAGGTTGAAAGCCAAGGAAACAGAAGACAGTGTAGTGTACCACAACCTACTTTCTTCCTTTATTTACCTTGATTTTAACCTTTTAAGTTTTCACTCTTCTCAACACCATGCAATTCACTTGGACCCAAAAAGCATCTTTAATTGGTTTACTTTGGCATTCTCTTCTACTCAATTTTAGGCTTGCCTGCTGATGTCTCTACCCCAATGTGAACACATTTCCCTGAATATTTAGCCAGTCCCTTAGATTGTGAGGCCTGTCCTCAGGGTCGACTTTCTTTCAATTTACTTACCTTCAAAGTGGAAATTCTGGTTCTTACCCCAACTGCTTTACAGGTTTGCAAAGTTTAAATAAGATAACAAATGTTAAAGTGCTTTGAAAAGGTAAAAACTTTTTTCTGCAAATGTATTTAATAAATGACCATAATAGTAGCAGTGTTTCTTACTCCCTGGAAGCCTGTAGCAAGTTACAGACAGGTAAAGGCTGGTAACTCTCAAACATACTACCCCATTAGTATTCATTTTATAATGAACATGGCAGCAAGGTTCAACTCAACTCAAAGTTCAACCCAAGTACCAAAGTCAAATGAGACTTATGCACTATCTTGGGGAAAAATATTTTGGGTCTCTGGATAGCTACCCAAAGAAGTGTTGAAGCACTGGATTTTAAAGGCCTGCAAACACCTCTCTCCTGTCCTGTTGACTCCCTTGGCCCCTTACGATTTCCTCTTCTGGTCTTGGGATAGAAAATGAGGGATACTCAGTAGAAGCACCAGGGGGCGCAACCCAGCATGTGATTATGCCTTGGCTTTCTAGACAGGCACAGTAATTTCCCTCTTGAGGGAGTAACCACTTCTCTACCCATAACCTTTAAATCAGCATCACTATACCCCATGCACTGTGTGTGAACTTCTGTGTGCATGTATGTGTGTGCACACTCAGAATCGAGATTCTTTTAGGAATTTGGGGATTGCAGGAATCAGAGGATCAGGCATTCCTAGAACACATTTATGATTTTGTAAAGAAAGGGGAGAAGACAATTTCCCTTTAAAGGCCTATTTCCCTGTAAATGGTGTTTAAGAAGTGCCACCTAGAACCTCGGCACATGTGAAGTAGGACTAGACTTCTCTTGTCAAGAAACTAACAAGAGTTTTTGACCTGCACTGCTAGTAAGGCAGGAAACGTGAACTTGACAAACCACCTCTGAGCTTGCCAAGAGGCTTAGCCTTTATTTCAGGGTCAGAACCTTGTCTTCTTTTATCCAACTAGAAAATGAAGAAAATATTTGCATAGTATTCAGATGTGTCATCCTTAAGAATGTGTATATTTAAGATAATGGATCAAGTGGAAAGAGGTCAAAAGATATAGCACAGAGTTAAAAATAGCCACCACAGAAAATGTGTTTGTATTTGGCATGGTGCCTTTTCACCTTCATGTAACTGGCCATTTGGCTCACTGTGTAAAGCAGCCAGCTTCCCTCAGCTCTGGGATATGGGGGTTAGGGTACTCTGCTAGCTTCCCCAAACCACTTAAATTGAAGACCAAGTCGGTTATTTCTACAGTTAAAGCTAAAATTCCCTTCCTTTCATGTCAATGATGAGACTTTCTAATGTAAAAATATTACCATTACTATCAGCAAATGAACTATTCTCTCTTGAGGCTTGTTGTTTTGTTTTGTTTTAATTTGCTTATTCCCTCCTCCCTCCCAGTCTCTAGACCCCTTCGTGGATGGTATCAGATGATTTCAGTTCCACCTTTCATTGCATTCTCTGACTGAGCCAACACAGCTGGATTCTCAGCCAACTATGAAGTTTAAATTGGTAACTCCAAATCTGTTCTATAAATTTCAGCAACAGCAGATTTGGCCAGAATTTCAATGCTATCTCCATGCCTGAATTTCAAGAATAAAGGAAAAATAACCAGGCTCTCATGATTTACTTAAGAGAATGTACAAAGAACCATCACACTCAAGATTTTTTCTTTTGAAAGATTATTCCTATAAATATTTTTGCCCCTCTAGTATTATTTCACAATTTATTATGGCTATAGAGCCACAAATTTTGCGAATGACTTAGGAAACTAAGTAACTTTATATCTATGACTAGACAAGTACATAAAGTGAACATACTGTTCTAAAAGAATAATTATATATTGGAGTATTTGAGCTCAAGGAATAGAGGATTTTATTTTGTTTGTAACAGAGCCAAAATCAGCATATGCTCGAGTAATCTGCAGGAAAGACAGCAGGGTTATGGATAAATTATATATCTATGATAACTAGTGAACAGAGCTTATTAAGAACTAGGAATCTGAGGGCTTTATGAAAAGCAATTCAGAGGGAATTCTGGCATGTGTCCAAACAGATATGACTTTTCTAAGGAGGGCTATGGGGTGTCAGATGTTTTAAATTACTATGCTTTCTCTTTAGACTCCTCTTTCTGTCTCTCTGAAGATAATGTAAAGCTGCAGCTCCATATCTGTGAAAACCCATTCCATAGCATCTGCATCTCTGGGTTGCTAAATACCCTTGTCTAGTTACCTGAATATTAATAGATCCCATGGAATGAGATGGCATGATTCAGACACAAGCAATTACCAAAGGATTTTGAAAAGCAGTAACTCCAAATTATCTTGTAAAGTTGAGAATTATCTGAGAAGAGCTATTGTAAGATTGGGAATCAAGTAACAAAATAAAGAAATGAACTGTCTGTTGGTCTATTAATTTACTTGTTTTAAAACAGAATACCTTTAAAATTTAATTATGAATATAGTTTATATTTTTAAGGGACACAAATGATGTATGAATGCGATAATTCTGTACCTCACAGTCAAAACAGATACTTTGTAAACAAGGATTCTCAGTTACCAGACCTCCTGAAAATGAATGACTTTTTTTGTTATATCCACTTTTCTATCATTTTTCATGTTTTCTGGTAACACAAACCTAAATTTACCTGTTCATTCTTCATTAATCCCAAAATACTTTTGATCTACTTTCCCACCATAGTTAACCTGGTTATCTATCATGTAATGAAATTAACATTTTAGACAAATAATAAACAAAAAAACCAAATGAGAACAGATTAAAGAAATAGAAAATGTAAAGTTACCCAGAGACTTACAGGATGCTAAACTTTTAAATACAATATGATGTGGCTAATTTTTCAAAGAGAAGAGACTGAAAAATTTGTATAGATACTGCATCTTTTTGAGTGTTGAGTCATAAACTAATTGCATAAGTCATTCTTCTCAGAATAATCCATCAAACTGTTAGAAGTTTTGAAGTGACTGCCTTGTCAGATATGCTGTTTTAATATTGATTATATCACATTGGCTTAGATATGATTTAAAGACTTCACATATTAAGACACTGCTTAGCCTGGAAGATTAAGAGCAAGGAAAATGAAGAGAATCCACTGAGGAAATGAGATGTCCAAGGGATGAGGTATGAGTTGGAGTCAAGTCATCAACTAGGAATAATAATATGGACATTGATAACAATAATAATAACTAATATTACTGACTGCTTTATATATGCTAGGGATTATTTAATTCTCACTACTCTTTCTATGAATTAGAAACTTTTACCATCCAATTTTACAGATAAAGGAACTAAGTGATTTTGGACGTGTGGGGCTTACAGTTTCTATAGGGATCCAAATTGAGTTGCCTGATGGGCATTTGGACATATGTATCAGAACCTCAGGGGGAATATCTGGTCTGGAGTTATAGTTCCGGGAGCTGTTAGACTATAATTGATCATTCAAGTCACAGAAATACATGAGATAAAGTTTTACGCCACTGGATGGGAAAATACCTTTGCATTTTTGGTCATTAATGATCACAATAAAAACTAATTTGGGGCCAGGTATGGTGGCTCACACCCATAATCCCAGCACTTTAGGAGGCCAAGGCAGGCAGATCACCTGAGATCAGGAGTTTGAGACCACCCTGCCCAACATGGTGAAACGCCATCTCTACTAAAAATACAAAAATTATTATTATTTTTATTAAATTTTTTATTATGCTTTAAGTTCTAGGGTACACGTGCACAATGTGCAGGTTTGTTACATATGTATACATGTGCCATGTTGGTGTGCTGCACCCATTAACTCGTAATTTACATTAGGTATATCTCCTAATGCTATCCCTCCCCCCACTCCGAGTGAGAACATGTGGTATTTGGTTTTCTGTTCTTGCGATAGTTTGCTGAGAATGATGGTTTCCAGCTGCATCCATGTCCCTTAGCCAGGCAAGGTGGCACACGCCTGTAATCCCAGCTACTCAGGAGGCTGAGGCAGGAGAATCGCATGAACCTAGGAGGCGAAGGATGCAGTGAGCCGAGATCGTGCCACTGCACTCCAGCCTGGGTGACAGAGCAAGACTCCTTCTCAAAAAAAAAAAAAAAAAAAAATTTGGAACCATGGAAGCGACAAAAGCTATGTGGTGCTGGACTAAAGAATGAAGTATACTCTTCTAAGATGTTTACCTATTAATAAAAAAGAGAAACAGATTATCATAGTTTTGTTTTAACAAACTATCTGGCCATGGAGAAAGATATTAAATGGGCACATTGACTGATAGTATGATCGCAAGTGCCAACGTCTCAGCTTTTATCTAATCAATAGGCCTTTGTTACCTTTTGAAAGTAGTAGAAATACAGTATTAAAACTGCGGCTGCTTCTTCCATCTTCTTCAATCTTGAATTAGGAAGAGAATACCATGCAGAACCCATGATAAAATAAATTATTAATAGACCCTAGAATATTTTTACCTAGACCTTAGAAAAATAATTATGAATCCCCCAATTTAGATGTTAACAATGAACAGTGACTGATGTGAATTTGAGGATCTATGTTTATTAGATGAAGACAATCACTAAAAAATCCATTTATGAATAAATTACCTTTTTATTTACTGGTCTTTGTTGAGACTTACAATAGTCTCAAGTTCACTCATTTTAAGATTCAAATAACTAAGCAACATTGCACTTATATGAGAAAACAATCATCCCTCTGGATTTTCTAATTAACTTTAGATAATAACAATGTACAAAATAATTAGCAATTTAAAATATAAGTAAGAAATTTTGTACATCTTACAGAATGATTGGATACATTTAAAATTATATTTTAGTAATCACTAGTAATATAAGTGCAAAGATATGAACTTGCATAAAATTGTTCTGGCCCTTATTTTGTAATGGGCATTGCCATCTGTTCAGCATAATCAGTTCTTTCGTATTTCTCTGGTAAATGAAAACAATACAAATTTCTATTGAAAGAATATATCACAGAAAGAATATGTTCTACTGAATGAGGAAACTAAAAAAAAAAAAAAAAAAAGTCATATTATTTTCAGCAACCCGGGATGATTTCTTTAGATTTTAAAAGTTCTGAGACCAATAACTTTCCTGAAGAGAAAAGCTTTATAAAATTGGTTGAAAATTCAACAAAAAATAGCTCCTGTTATCAAGTCCATAAGTATCTTACACCCATTTAAAAACTGAAGGAATCATTTTTTTCCATAATCCTTTGACATTTTTATACCCACTGCTTCCATGATCAAGCCATTTGGCAGTAATAAAACAGAAAGTTGGCTCGACCATTATCCTTCACATTAAAAAAAAAAACTGTTTTGTTCTTTTCTACTAATGCCAACTCATTTGATGCTCTGCACACACATCAATTAGAGCTATTAGGTATGTGCAGAATGTAATATGTCAACCAGGTCAAGGCTGATTCTCGATGTGACTCATAGGCCAGAAATGAATGGCAATTTTTACTTTTCCTTAAGTGTGAATCTACGCTTTCAATCAGTTTTTATCACCATGAATAATTCTACCTTTCATCTTAGTTTTTATTACCAATAAAAACATCAGAGCCTAACTTTCTATACAAATTTTTTTTCTGCTGCCTAAAATCTCCATTTTCCTTCTTAAACTGGCAATGGCATTTAGTTTTTAACTTTTAAAATTACTCTTCAAAGGTTTTTATTCATTTATTTGACACATTTATTGGGCTGCTTCTCAATTTAGAAGTAGACAAAAAAGTAGACAAAAAGCAACTCATTGCTGTAAAGGGTGATAGTAAAACGGAACGTACAGAATGCTGCTAAATGGTTGATAAGGAAATTCCAAGGTAAGTCTCCTGGGAACAGGAAAGTCCTCCTTGAAAATGCAGGCTTTAGTTAGAATCTTAAAGGAAAGGCATCAGCTAGGAAGATCCAAGCAAGGGGATAAAGAGAGTGTTCCAGGTAGAAACAGCATGCACAAAACAAGCAAGATAAGCTTTTTTAATTTTTATTTTTTAAAAACATATATATCTCTGTTTTCAGCTAAATTGAAATCCCTGTGGACAAGAAGACAAGGCATAGTTTTGTTTCTTCTGTCTCTCGTATCTTTTAAAACACCTTAGTAACTTAATACAGCAGTACCTCATTTTATACTGTTTAACCTTCTTGTGTTTCACAGATACTGCAGTTTTTCACCAATTGAAGGTTTGTGGAAACTCTGTATCAAGCAAGTCTACTGGGGCCATTTTTTTTTTTTTTTTTTTTTATACACAGGATGTGCTCACTTCATGTCTCTGTGTTAGATTTTGATAATTCTCACATTATTTATAATATTATTATTATTATACCTATTATGGTGATCTGTGATCAGTGATCTTTGATGTTACTTTTGTAATTGTTTGAGTGCACCATGACAATGAACTAAATCAGTGAATGCGTGTTTTCTGGCTGCTCTACCAACTGGCCACTCCCCCATTTCTCTCTTGCTCCTCAGGCCTTTCTATTTCCTTAGATGCAAGAATATTGAAATTAGGCCAATTAATAGCTCTGCAATGATCCTTAATTGTTCAAGTGAAAGAAATGGTTAGGTGCCTCTCACTTTTAATCAAAAGCTATAAATGATTAAGCTTAGTGAGGAAAGAACATTGAAAATTGAGACAGGTCAAAAACTGAGCCTCTTGCACCAGTTAGCCAAGTTGTGAATGCAAAGAAAAAGATATTTAAGGGAATTAGAAGTACTACTCCAGTAAATACACACAAATAATAAGAAAGAAAAATGAACCTATTGCTGATATGGAGAAAGTTTTAGTGGTATAGATAGAAGATCAAATCAGCCACAACATTCCCTTAAACCAAAGTCTAATCCAGAATAAGGCCCTAACGCTCTTCAATTCTGTGAAGGCTGAGAGAGAAGAGGGAAATGAGAGGAAAAGATTGATGCTACAGAAGCTGATTTATGGGGATTAAAGAAGGAAGCCATCTCTAGAACATAAATGTGGAACGTAGCAGCAAGTGCTGATGGAGAAGCTGAAGCAAGTTATACAGAAGATCTAGCTAAGATAAGTGATGAAGGTAGCTACACTAAACAACAGATTTTCATTGTAGATGAAACAGCCTTCTACTGGAAGAAGATGCCATCTAGGACTTTCATAGCTAAAGGAAAGTAAATGCCTGGCATCACAGCTTCAAAGGATAGATTGACTTCTTGTTAAGGGCTAATGCAACTGGTAAATTTGAGACCAATGTTAATTTACCATTCCAAAAATCCCAGGGCTCTTAAGAATTATGCTAAACCTACTTTGCCTGTAATCTATAAACAAAACTGCAAAGCCTGGGTGGCAGCACATCTGTTTACAGCCTGGTTTTCTGAATCTTTTTAAGACTACATTGAGACCTACTGCTTAGAAAAAAATAT